TGCCCCAGATCACTTCCCCTGAGAGCCCATCTCGGAAGTAAGGTTCTTCAGGTAGGGCGGATAGTCTGGGTCCGTCTCCTCGTAGATCGTCAAGAAAGCCTGAAAGTCAGCCAGCCGAGCACTGATTTTTCCTGGGCAGTTTCATTCTCAATCCAATATGGCGTAAGAATCCGTCTCCCTGGTAGGAATCTCATTGCTCCACTCAACCTATACTGCGAAAATAACCGTTGGACTTAAGCATCATGGGTTCCAGTAGTGCCCTCCTTAATACTACCCCCTAGGTTCCCCGCTTAATTAACCTTAATTAGGCCTAATTATCCCTAAATAACCTTAATTAAGGCGGGACCCTAGGGGGGTAGTATAGAGGCGGGTACTACTTGAACCCATGAAAGCAGCATCATGCTTGGGTCTTCTGACGCCAGTTCTTTTGCTCAAGCTCCTCCGAACTCTTTTTCGTGAGCCATCACCTACTGGTCCCTAAAACCTACCCCATCCTTTCATACACCCACGCCGCTGCCTGCCCCAGCAGATGGCTCTGCCGTCGCAACCGCTCCTGCAATATGTAGGCGCCCGTTGCAGAATCATCTTTGCTTGAACTGGGCCCGGACCGCAGAAAATAGGCCAGAAAACCTGAACCCTATGCCTATAAACTTGAATTCTTGAAGACGATCAAGGACTGTCCTTGCATCGCGGGTCGTGGCGGAGCTGTTCAATCAGCCGACGCCAAAGCTCCTGCAACGTGCTTTGGCATAGCAGCGATGATAGAGAGGTCAATTGGAGACTGCTGGAGGGCTGGGGGTATCTAAGCCCCATTATATTGGGAATGTAATCCCCTCTCTCTCTCGCGTGCTGGGAATGTAATCCTACACCCCAAAATCCTTAAACCCCAAACCCCTAGAGGACTTCAATCTCAGGCCTGAGAAATTTGATCCCATTTCATGCGGCGGGAAGACTCCGCAGATGTTGTCTTTTGCACATTGCCATGACTTATTTTGACTGGATGCCATTTGCTATCCGTATGGTTGCGGGCCGAAAAAAATCATGGAGGCGAAATGTTCAGTCGACTGGCGTTCAAAGAATGAAGGGTGCCATGCACATTTAGCCTGCAGACTCGATACGCCTCACCTAGGGGCTAGAGCTTTCACATCTCCTTGCGTGAAACTGGGACCAAAAAACATCTACTGCCCGGCAAACTCAGCACATGTACAGGTCATTCTCGGAACGAGATATCACCAAATAACAGGAATGCTTCCGCGCACGTCAATAGCCCGAAGCTCTTAAATTGGGTGGCTCAAAAGGTGGGGTAAACCTGGGTGGGTGGAAGGGACTGGGGGCATCCAAAACTACCGTGCGCCTGTAAACAAGCAGCTGCTGAGAGGAGTGCCATTTGATAGTCCACATGACACGGGGCGCACGGACTACCTTTTCAAGAAAAGGAGAAGGGAAGGGCAAGTAAGCGGAGTTG